AAACAACCTTCCTCAAGACTCAGTAATACCACTTTTCAGTATATATCCAAAGGATGCTCAATCGTGTCACAAGGACATGTGCTCAAATTCATATCAACTTTGTTTGTCATAGCCAGAATCTGGAAACAACTTAAATGCCCATCAACTGAAAATGGATAAGGCAAATGTGATACATTTACACAATGGAGTACTACATAGCAGAAATAAATAGCAACATCTTGAATTTTTCAGGAAAATGGATGGAGCTGGTAAACATCATTTTGAGTGAAGTAACCCAGACACAGAAAGAAAATTATCACATGTACTCACTCACAAGTGGTATTTAAACATAACAGAAAGAAAACCAGCCCACAAATCACAATTCTAGAGAACTTAGACAACTATGAGGACCCTAAGAGAGACTTACCTAGATCTAATCTACATGGGAAGTAGAAAAAGACAAGCTATCCTGAGTAAATTGGGAGCATGGGGACCTTGGGGGAGGATTGATGGGGGGAGAGGTAGGGAAGGGAGCAGAGAAAAATGTAGAGCTCAATAAAAATCAATAAAGAAAATGTTTAGGAGGAAAATAGAAAACTTTAGAACAAAAAAAAAATGCAAACTCGCCCAAGAGAACTAGACTGCAAGAAATAATCAAACTGAGAGTTGAAATCAACAAAATAGAAATAAAGAAAACAATAAACAGAATCAATGAGACAAAGAGTCAGTTGATTGCAAAAATCAACAAAACAGATAATTCTTTATCCAAAATAACCAAAAGGAAAAGGGAGAATATTTAAATTAACAGTATCAGAAAGGAAAAGGGGGACATAACAGTCACATGGGAAATATAGAGAATCATCAGGTCTTATTTCAAAAACCTGTACTCCAAAATATTGGAAAACTTAAAGAAAATGGACAAATTGTTGGGTAAATAGCATTTACCAAAATTAACTCAAGACCAGATAAGGAAATTAAACAGATCTATTACTGCTGAAGAAATAGAAACAGTCATCAAAAGTCTCCCAACCAAAAAAAAAAAAAAAGCCCAGGACCAGATGGTTTCAACTCAGAATTCTACAAGGTTTTCAATGAATTATACCAATACTCCTCAAATTATTTCACACAATAGAAGCAGAAGGAACATTACCAGATCCACAGGGTGAAGCATGGAAAGAGTGGTGATGTGTTTTGATGGTCTTTTTGTAGTTACCACAAATTCCATAAGGGCCAAAACTTGGTCTGCTTGATGGTATAATGGTCCTTAAAAATGATTTATTTATTTTTATTTTATGTGCATTGGTGTTGTGCCTGAATGTCTTCTGTGTGAGGGTATTGATCCCAGGAGCTGAGTTACAGACAATTCTGAACTGTCATGTGGGTGTTGTGAATTGTACCTGAGTTATCTGGAAGAACAGTCAGTGCTTTTAACCACTGAGTCATCTCTAGAGCTCCCTATTTAATGTCTCTTTTTAAACAATGATTTCACATCTGTGTAGCACATGCAGTGGAGGATTGGCAGGAGGACATTTGGTGAGAATAACACATGATGAAGGTAAGGCACATGTCTCAGCTTGCATGTGTTTGATTAGATTTGAGATTTTAGTGCTTGTAGTCCACAGAGAGTAACAGTTGTAAGGGCTTACTGCAACTCAGTTCTCCTCTTTCAAGGATTGCTAATATTTGGACCTTGAATATTCACTTAAAGGCCCATGTGACAGAAATGTGCTTTTCTGGCTAGTGTTTTCAGGAGATGGTGGGAATCTTAAGAGTAGAGGAATGATAGAAAGTGTTTAGGTCATTAGTCACATGTCCATGAGGAGAACAGTGTAGCCTTGTCCCCTCCATTATCTTGTGTGTTTTCGGGATGTTCAGTGAGCATTTTTCCTCTACCACACATTCCTGTCATGATGTCCTGCCTCACCAGAAATACAAAGCAGCAGGGCATTCTATTATGAAACAGAATCTCCAAAATGAAGCCAGGATTAATATTTGTTCATAATAAGTTGGTTATCTTCTGTATTTTGCTGCAACAGTGGAAACATGACTTAAACATGATCTTACACTTTCTCTAATTCAGGTAAGTGCCACCTAAATATTTATAAAATGGGAACTGCATGATCGTACATACTTCAATTGAAGTTAGTGAGATCATGTGCAATAATTTGTATAGAGAAGTAACCTTCTTATTAAAAATCTACAGCTACATGTAGATTATTTTCAAAATGAGAAATGGATGCCAGTTTTATATGGAATTCTGTCACTGCTACTAAAAGAAAGAGAGGATTTCAGACTTGGCAGAGTCAATGATAGGAGAAAGTAGGTAACTGCAGCAGTCCTTAAGATTTTACACTCTGCCCTCACTTTCTGTTCACTCTGCTTCAGGACTGAAAATTCAACATGATCTTTTGATCTCACACCTGCCACCAAGGCTTCCTCATCATCATGACTGTATTCCTTTGAACTATAGCCAAAATAGCCCTTCCTTCTGTAAGGTGCTTTTGTCAGGGCTTTGCTCATATCAGTAAGGAAATAATGCTTTGACCTGTGCTAATTTATCATGGAACAGTGAAAAAACAAATCCAGAAATGTCAATTCATATCAGTGAACTAGGGTTGTAAACTTGCAATGTGCGGCAATGTGTACCTGCAGTCAAAAGATGCAAAAATCATTTTGTTGAGCTTCCTTTCCACTTTTTGTAAGGAAACAGAAACATGTAGAAGGCAAGGTAGAGATAGGAAGGTACATAGCCTTCTGAATTGTGGTTATGTAAAGCCAGGCTTCTAGAGCTCATCCATCTGCAATGTTGGAGGAACCAGAAAATAAAACTAACCTGAATAAGATAGCACATGCCTGGAATTCCAGCACTCAGCGTGAAAATACAGGAGGATCATGAGTTCAATGCCAGCAGGAAATACACAGTCGTTACTAAATTGGTCTGGGTTGTCTAACGAGAACTTATCAGAACAAACAAGCAACAAAAATCAAAATAGGAAAAGAAAAATAAGAGAAAAAAAATGTAAACAGTAACTGCTCGTTCATTTCCCAACCACCCAGACACAAACAATCCACAAAACGTTACTAATTATGACACTGTTTAGGACAATAGGTTAGGTATATTTCTAGATAACTGTTACATCTAAAATTAACCAATTTCTATTGATCTATGTCTCACCCAGAAGCTGTGGCCTATTGGTAAGGTTTCAGTGTCTTTTTCCTTTGTTACATGGCATCTCTCTGCATCTTCCTTCTTTCCTCTCTTTTTGCTTTGATTTTCTGCCTTGTTTTACACTGAACTTCCATAGGTCAAAGCAACTTCCTTATTAACCAATGTTAATAAAACATATTTATAATATACAGAGGAAAATCCCACATCAAACACAAGAGAAAAATATTGACAAGACAAATTGAAAGTATAAAAATACAGATACACAGCAGTGCGAAAAGGACAATGAATAAACCTTAAATATAAGAAGTTATTTTGGAATGGACACAGGGATGCAGTAATTTGAAGTCAAAGCTGCAGAATAGTTGTAGTACAGACTGACATTTTGAAAGTGCATAAGATACTGTAAGGTCAAGAAAGAAGCAATGGAAAAATCCATTAGTGTGAGAATGTAAATCTGTATCTTAAAGATAAATAACTATTGACTTAAATTTTAGATCTTTTTAAAGTAAAGGAGAAAAAATTTCTATACAAGAGATTAATGAACCTAAAAATACTTTGAGAAATATTGACAAACAGGTCTTTATTTTCGTGAATGATTTATTAAAGTATAAGGAATTTAGAGTGAAACATACCACTTTACAGATTTTCTTTTTAAATTTAAATTTTTAATTTTTATTTCTAAAAATTTATATATTTAAGATTTATTTTATTTTATGTGCATTGGTGTCTCGCCTACATGTATGCCTGAGTGAGTGTGTCAGATGTCCTGGAATTGGAGTTACAGACAGTTATAAGCAGCCATGGAGGGCTGGGAAATGAACCTGGGTCTTCTGGGAAAGCAGTCAGTGCTCTTAGTTGTTGAGCCATCTCTGTCTCTGTGTCTCTTTCTCTCTCCTTCTCCCCCCTCTTCCTCTCTTTCTCTCCCTTCCTCCCTCCCTCCTCCCCTTCTCTTCCTCTCTCTCTCTCTCCCTTCTTCCCTCCCTCCTCCCCTCTCTCTCTCTCTCTCACATACACACAGGCACACACAGGCACACATACATACACACACACACTAAATGACTTTGGTTAACTTTTTCCAGTTGATATAATTTGCATTTATTATCCCTTAAAAACACATTAAAAAGTAAACAGTAAATCTTAAGTGATAGGAAATTCTAAAAAGGAATGCTGAGAGTGGAATAAACTTGGGAAATATGTGGTCAGGGAGATAGGGGAGAAGAAGGAAAAAAATCATCCAAAGACAAATATGTGTTCATGAAAATTTAAATGAATAATTATTAATTAAGAAACAATCATAAAGGTCTATATTTTGTTGGGGAATCAAAGAATTGTATGGTATATGGAATGGGATAAACATGGAAAACATTTTATAAAAGTTTGTTTCATTATTTAAGATCTTTCCCCAAGACTGATCTAATGAGAGTTCACCAAGGCCAGTTGTCTGGGACTGAGCGAGCATGTAATCCAGCCAGATTCTCTGATTGAGGTCGGATTCTTGTGGCTGGCCCGGAGTCTTTCTGAAAAGGCATTGACAATGACACTGGGACTTGTTTCCTCTGCATATACTAGATTTTTAGGATCCAGTCTGTTTGGATGCTCACCTTCCTGGACCTGGAGGGAGGGGGGAGGAGCTTAAACTACCCACAGTGCGGGAGACCCTGACTGCTATTGGGGGTGGAGAGGGAGGAGGGGGAGTGGGAGGGTGTTGGGAGGAGGGGCGGAAATGGAGACTTTTGTATTTTAATAAACTTTGAGAAAAAAAATAAAAAATAAATAAATAAATAAAAATAAAAAATAAAAAAAAGATCTTTCCCCAAACAAGTCTAAAGCTGTGTATTGAGATGTCAGAGAGTAAGAGACAGCTGAGAGACTGAGCCTCAGTGAGCAGTAAGCCCAGGAGATTTTTATTCAGCCCTGGAGCACTGTGGAAGGAAACTTCTTACCCTGCTGACAGTAATAGGTTGCAGCAGCAGCAGCCTCCACAGGATTAATGGTGACGGTGAAATCTGTCCCAGACCCACTGCCTCTGAACCTATCAGGGAACCCAGAAGCTAGGTTGACTGCATAATAGATGAGGAGTTTGGGAGACTGTCCTGGTTTCTGTTGATACCATTGTATAATATTTGTAACATAGTTATTGACACTCTCACTGGACTTGCAAGAGATGGTGACCTTTTGTCCCAGAGACACAGACAGCAAACCTGGAGACTGGGTCAACACAACGTCCCCAGTGGAAACTGGAATCACAAACACACAGACCATGGTTATACAGGTTTAGAAACCTTCCCAGAAAAGGAATTTTTATTTAAAAATTTTAAGAATACTTGTGGGCATCACTTTGATAAACCAGAAAGTCAAAGAGAATGGGAGAACTTAATACCAATTACAAATGCCTTAAATTTAATGATCAAGATAAAAGAGGCATGGAAAACCATGATGGCCACAACGGATGCTCCAAACACTGGTCTGGACCCTCTCACCCAGAACCCCGAGCATTAGCATCCATAGCAGGAGTGCCTTTGACTTCATCTCTGAGTGCTTGAAAAGAGAGTGTTTCTTAGGCCCCTGGCAACTGCCCTTAAATGAACCAGAGCTGTTGTAAGTGACTCAATATGTAAATCAGCCAAGAAAAGTGTGTGCTGGTGCTCAAAGGGACACCTGCTCCTGTTTCTCCCACGGGGAGTTGGTGTCAGCAGAAAACTCACTACAGTATGGTAAGTGTGTCTTAGAGGAGACTTGCAGCCTATTCATTTGAATTGATGATGGGGAGTGCACTATGAATGTGCTGTGTAACGAATGTATGTTATTTCAGGAACAACTTCACCCTTCAAATTTTTCTTTTTTTAAATTGTTTTTATTGATCTTTATATTTTCTTCACTCCTATCCCTTCCTCTCTCTTCCCTGTCTATCCTCTGCCAAGGTCCCCATGCTCCCAATTTACTCAGGAAACTTGTCATTTTTTTTACTTCCAATGTACATTAGATCCATTTATGTGTCTCTTATGGTCTTATTTGTTGTCCAGGTTCTCTGGGATTGTGAATTGTAAGCTGGCTTTTTTTTTTTGCTTTATGTCTTAAAACCACTTATGAATGAGTACATGTAATATTTGTCTTTCTGGGTTTGGGTTACCTCACTCAATATGATGTTTTCTAGATCCATCAATTTGTCCACAAATTTCAAGATATTATTTCTCCTCTGTTTAGTACTTCATTATGCAAATGTATCACTTTTTTATACATTCTTTGGTCACAGGGCATTTATGTTGTTTCCAGATTTTTGCTATAACAAAAAAATACTGCTATGAACATAGTTGAGCACGTCATTGTGGTATGATTGAACATCCTTTGGATAAATACCCAAAAGTGGTATTGCTAGGTCTTAAAGTAGTTTGCTTCCTTATTTTCTAAGAAATTGCTATACTGATATCCAAAGGGGATGTACCAGTTTGCACTTCCAATTTGCACCAGCAATGAAGGTGTGTTCCCTTTACCCCACAACTTTTCCATCATAAGTCATCATCAGTGTTTTTGACCTTGGTCATTATTACAGGTGTAAGACAGAATGTCATTGTTGTTTTGATTTGCATTTCTCTGATGGTTAAAAATGTTGAGCATTTCCTTAAATGTCTTCCAGTCATTTTACATTCCTCTGTTGAGAGTTCTCTGTTTAGGTCTGTACACCATTTTCATTGGGTTATTTATTCTTTTGATTACCAATTTCTTGAGTTCTTTGCATATTTTTGAGATCAGTCCTCTGTCTGATGTGTGATTAGTAAAGATCTTTTCCCATTCTGTAGTCTGCCAATTTGTATTGTTGATCATGTCCTTTGTTGCAGAAGTGTCTCAATTTTAGGAGGCCCCACTTATTCATTGTTTCTTTCAGTGTCTGTGCTACTGGGGTTATATTTAGAAAATGGTCTCCTGTGCCGATATGTTCAAGTGTACTTCCCACTTCCTCTTCTATGAGTTTCAGTGTGGTTGACTTTATGTTGAGGTCTTTGATACTTTTGGACTTGATTTTGTGCATGATGATAGATATGGACTTATTTTCATTCTTCTACATGTAGATATCCGGTTATGCCAGCATCATTTGTTAAATATGCTTTCTTTTTTCCATTTTATATTTTTTGCTTCTTTGTTAAAAATCAAGTGATCGTAGGTGTGTAGATTAATACCTGGGTCTTTGATTATTGGTAAACAGGTCTGTCATTTCATTGGTTAGTGTTACCTCAAGATATTTTATGTATTTTGTGGCTACTGTGAAAAGAGATGTTTCTCTGAGTTCTCTCTCAGCTTCTTTATCATTTCTGTATAGGAGGGCTACTAATTTTTTTTTGAGTTGATCTTGTATTCCTCCACATTACTATAGATATTTATCAGCTATAGGAGTTCTCTGGTAGAGTTCTTGGACTCACTTATGTATACTATCATATCATCTTAAAATAACAAAAGTTTGACTTCTTCCATTCCAATTTGAATCCCCTTGTTGTCTTTTTGTTGTCTTATTGCTCTATCCAGAGCTTCAAAAACTATGTTGAAGAGATATGGAGAGAGTGAACAGCCTCGTCTTGTTCCTGATTTTAGTGGAATTGCTTGAAATTTCTCTCCATATAATTTGATGTTGGTGGACTTGTTGTATTTTATTGTGTGTAGACATGGTCCTTGTATCCTTGATCTCTCCAAGACCTTTATCATGAAGGGGCAATGCATTTTGTTGAATGCTTTTTAGCATATAATGAGATAATCATAAGATTTTTCTTTCAAGTAATTTGTATGGTGGATTACAATAATCTATTTACATATATTGAACCATCCCTGCATGTCTGGGATGAAGCCAACTTGTCCGTGGTGAATGATTTTTTTGATATGTTCTTGGAATCAGGTTTCCAGTATTTTATTGAGTATTTTTCTATCTATGTTCATGACTGTAATTGTTCTGTAATTCTCTTTTTTGGTTGAGTCTTTTCATGGTTTCCATATCAGGGTAACTATAGTCTCATAAAAAGAGTTTGGCTACATAAAGAAAGTAGAGAAATCTCACACTAGTGACTTAACAGCAGATTCGAAAGCTCTAGAACAAAAAGAAGTAGTTTGACCCAGGAGGGTTAATGACAGGAAATAATCAAATTGAGGGATGAAATCAATAAAATAGAAACAAAGAAAACAATATGAAGAATCAATGAGTGTTCATTTTGGCAGTACATATACTAAAATTGGAATGAGCCCAGCTTCCATCCAGAGGGCCATCGAAGGGGTGAGTTTGCTTCGGGCCTGCAGCAGGGGCCCTGCGAGGAGGAGCTCAGACTTTCCCTGACCCCATAGACTCCCAGGTCAGCCTGCTCTGCTGGCTCCACCCTGCTAAGCTCTCCCACCAGCCATTCCAGCTTCCATCCAAAGGGCCATCGGAGGGGTGAGTTTGCTTCGGGCCCGCGGCAGGGGCCAGGCGAGGAGGAGCTCAGACTTTCCCAGATGCCATAGACTCCCAGGTCAACCTGCAGTGCTGGCTCCACCCTGCTAAGCTCTCCCACCTGCCATCCCAGCTTCCATCCAGGTACAAATTCCCATATTTCTCCCTTCCCACTGGGGTCATAAAATTTCCCCAGCTCAGCTGCCTTGCACGCTGGGTCTGCTCTGTAGGCACATCCTGGAAAGAGGGAGTGCCTGTGCTTCAATAGCCTGCCTGAGGAAAGGTAGGCATTCTATCGGTTAATTCCCTGCCAAACAAGGGAACCTGACCCGCTACCAGAAGTTCTAATAGAGAGCATTTGAACGAAGAGATGGGCACACGCCAAGGCAAGACCGCCTCCAACAATCTGAAAAACAACATGAAAACACAAGATCCCAACGATCCTACAACAGAAGGATTTGAACACTCTAACCCAGAAGAACTGGAAAAAAGTGCCATTATGAAAGCAATAGAGTCCCTTAAACAAGATATGAATAACTCCCTTAAAGAATTGGATGAGAAGTTTAACAAAAAGTTTGGAGAAATGAGTATAGAAATGGAAGAGAAATATAACAAAAAGTTTGAAGAACTAAGTAAATCCGTGAATGATACCCAGAGAAACCAAGAAAAAACAATCAAACAGGTAAAGGAAACAGTCCAAGAATTGAAAACTGAAATGGAGGCAATGAAGAAAACACAAACCGAGAACCGACTGGATATGGAAAACCTAGGTAAACGAACGGAGACTACAAGATCAAGCATAACCAATAGAATACAAGAAATAGAAGAACGAATCTCAGATTCTGAAGATACCATAGAGAAAATAAATGCTCTGGTCAAAGAAAACGGCAAATCCAACAAATTCTCTTTACAAAACATTCAGGAAATATGGGACACCATAAAAAAAAACCAAATCTAAGAATAATAGGTATTGAAGAAGGAGAAGAACTGCAGATCAAAGGCCCAGAAAATATATTTAACAAAATTATAGAATAAAACTTTCACAATCTAAAGAACGATATTCCTATGAAGGTTCAAGAAGCATACAGAACACCAAATAGACTGGATCAAAAAAAAAAGTCCCCCTCGCCATATAATAATCAAAACACAAAACATACAGATTAAAGAAAGAATATTAAGAGCTGCAAAGGAAAAACATCAAGTGACTTATAAAGGTAAACCTATCAGGCTTACACCAGACTTCGCTATGGAAACCATGAAAGCCAGAAGATCCTGGATAGAGGTAATGCAGAAACTAAGAGACCATGGATGCAAACCCAGACTACTATACCCAGCCATGCTATCATTCACTATCAACGGAGAAAACAAAATATTCTAGGATAAAAATAAATTTAAACAATTCGTAGCCACAAATCCAGCCTTACAGAAAGTAATAGAAGGAAAATCGCAACCCAAGGAATTCAACATTGACATCACTGCCTACAATAACACAGACATCTAGTGACACTTCACAACCACAACTCAAAGAAGAGAAACACACAAACTCTACTACACACAAAAAAAAATAATAATAACCGGAATCAACAACTACTGGTCATTAATATCAATTAATATTAATGGACTCAACTCACCTATAAAAAGGCACAGACTAAGAGACTGGATAAGAAAACAGGATTCAACATTCTGCTGTTTACAAGAAACACACCTCAACCACAAAGATAGACATCTACTCAGAGTAAAGGGTTGGGAAAAGTTTTTCAAGCAAATGGACCTAAGAAACAAGTTGGTGTGGCCATTCTAATATCTAACAAAATTGACTTCAAACTAAAATCAATTAGAAGAGATAGAGATGGATATTTCATACTCATAACAGGAACAATTAATCAGGAGGAAGTCTCAATCTTGAATATCTATGCCCCTAATATAAAAGCACCCACTTATGTAAAAGAAAAACTTTTAGAACTCAAGGCAGTCATCAAACCACACACACTAATAGTAGGAGACTTCAACACACCTCTCTCACCAATGGACAAGTCAATCAAACAGAAACTCAACAGAGAAATAAGAGAAATACTAGAGGTAATGAATCAAATGGACTTAACAGATATCTATAGAACATTCC